AGAGGAGAGAAAATGGAATTATATGAAATCCTCAATTAAAACCACAAAAGAGAGAAAAATAGTGGAAGATAAAAATAGAAACAAAGATCAAAGGCAATATAGAAAACACTGACAAATATGGTAGATATTAACCCAAGTATATCAATAATCACTTTGGATATTAATGTCTAAATGCACCAATTAAAGACAGAGATTACCGGAATCAATAAAAAAAACAAGATCCAAGTATATTACCTATCCTTTAAATATAAAAATGCATATAGATCAAAGAAAAATGAATGGAGAAAGGCATACCATTCTAACACCAATCAAAAGAAAATGGGAGTAGCTATGTTGATTTTGGACAGAACACACTTCAGAGCAAGGAAAATATAGGGGATAAAAAAGGGTCATTACGTAATAAAAAAGGGGTCAATTCTCCTAGAAGACATAATTCTCATTGTATGTGCCTAACAAAATATAGTCAAACTACATGAGGCAAAAACTGATAGAACTCCATGGAGAAATAGATAAATCCACTGTTGTATTTGGGAACTTCAACACTCATTTTTCAGAAATGAAGAGATCCAGTAGACAGAAAATCAGAAAGGACATAGTCGAACTCAACAACACCATCAATCAACTGGATATGATGGACAGATTAAACACATTTTCTAAAGAGTATTATTTACAAAACAAATGTATAGTTCTGAAATTTATCTAAATTAGATGCCAAATGAATGAGTGAAGTTTAGAAGAGTTCTGTTTCAAAACCATGGAGGATTTAGATTAAAAACAATGAATCTATCAAACCTACTTTATCCTCATGTCAGTCAGGGCATTATTTTTACTTTAGTCCAACTCCCTATGGCTTTGAAAATGGAGAAATTGTACATAATGCTTTCTGAAGGTTATACCCAATTTAAGCTTTTTTTTCCTCATTTGCATCTGCCACAGTTTCTAAATTTTACACATTTTCCTACTAATTTTGCTGCCTGCTATCTACCTTAACCTTAGTAAAAATTATATTCAGTAAAAATTATATGTAGAAGTAGAAACAAACTTTGAATATATGATATTTTTTCACTTAAGCTTTTTTAGAAAACTGTTTCATTTTATTCTTCTCATTTGACTCATCAGCAACTTTTTAAATATCTGACATAAAGAAAATTAGGCACAGCTTGGTGTGGCTCAGTGGTTGAGCATGGACCCAGTTCAATTCCCAGGCAGAGCATATGCCTGGATTGCAGACTCGATCCCCAGTAGGGGGAATGCAGGAGGCAGCTGATCGACGATTCTCTCTCATCATTGATGTTTCTGTCTCTCTTTCTCCCTTCCTCTTTTAAACCAATAAAAATATATTTTTTAAAAAGAAGGAAAGTTAGTTTTGCCTTCAACTTTTTACTTCAATTCAGGAAGAAGTTTAATGAAGAGATTTCCCGTTGTGTTCTTCCTCGCTAGTTTCCCAACTTTAAAAGAGTTAGGCCCTGACTATCAGAAGGAACTTAAGCACATGTTATCTGGCACAAAATGAAATATTTAATGTAGTATTTGACATTCTGTGAGAAACTCTCAGAAATTATAAAAAAGAAATAGACTAGGCCTACTTGTACTTCTGACATTAACCTCAGGACCATTGATCTGGAAAATGAGCATCTGCCCAAGGATGATAAGACCTACAATACATAAAGAGAAGTTGGAAAATAGACTTTAAAAAATTCAAGAACATTTTTTTTTTCCAAAGTACATACCTGGAATGCATGCTGAACTTGTAAATTTTATACCTGTACGTACACTCAGATATTCTCAGGTTGATTGTGCTTAAAAGCATTTGTCTAAAGAAACTAAAGTTTAGATTTAGGTGAGTGAGCCAATGGAAGGCTAGATGCAGAGACTGGTTTACCCAAAAGAGATTCAGAATTCCACTTCATATAGATTTTTACTAAAAATTTCAATAATACTATTATTCTCATTCTACCCTAAATTGTCTATATTTGTGTAAAGGAAGATAAATTTGGTTAATGTTTTTAATGACCAAAGCTATGCTTCAAAAGGACTAAAGCCTTTATATTAAACTATTAAAGTTCATGTGAAAGGAATGCATGCTTAACCCATTGTGCACCAGTAATTTTATTGCTAGCTTTACCCAGTGGCCAGAGAAGTTTCTATTGGACAAGTACAAAAAAACGTTTTATAAAGTATCATAATTTAAAAAGATATTAGCTTATAAGAACATGCAATAAATAACTTCAAAAGGCAATAGGTACTAAATTTTAATGCATGCCTTTAACATTTATGTAAAACACTGTGTACTATGAAAACATGAGAATGCTCGTGATCCGCCCGCAATGTGTTAAGAGTGATTAAAAAAGACAAATTTTTTTTTGTAGATATTACTGGACTCTTACTATCAGACCTAATCCTCAAATGTAACTCATTTATAAACATAATTCAGTCTAGATCTATCTATATCTGAGTCTTGATGTTCTATAACTAAAACATAGTACACAAAATTTGTTCTCTGCAGGGACCTAGAAATGCTAGCTGCTAAATCTACCTCTGCAAATTAATTGAGGAGGATGAGACCACTTTTTAGGATGTAGAGATGATGACTAGTTTTATGGACTGAACAGTACTGTTGTAAAATGTGTTTGGCCAATATCACAATATTGCTCCTATGGCACAACATACAGAAAAGTTTGTCATTTACAAACGGTGACTATGACAATGAGTTGGTTTGTCATTCTCTATCACTTTCATTTGCAGTTGGGTGTTTTTACTAATTCCTTATCTTGTTTGAACAGATTTTCAGGTCTGAAACAAAAATATCAAGGGGTTTAATTTACAGCAACACATGCACTTGCAAAATCATGTGGTGGGTACCTAGCCACTCTTGCCTGGTTAATAAAAATTTGGATTTAAAAGATAGGCTGGATTAGGAATGCAGAGAATTAGGTTCCAATCTCTGTTTTCTCCCACCCACTAAGTTGTATGACTTTGGACAGGCTCCTACAACTCTCATATTGAGTTAACTCATTTATAAAACAAAGACGTCAACTTAGGTGTCCCCGGGTTCCCTTTAAGGAACAATATTTCATCATTTAAGCCCCTTTCTGAACTGACTTGTATTTTGTGTTTTCACAGAGATGACAAAGATAAAGAGCTGGACAAATGGAAAGCAGTCCAGGATCTTTATGAGAGAGAGTTCTGGATTGGGGGGTGGTCCAGCAGCTGGTTTGCTGATTAAGTTTAGGTCAGTGATGGTGAACCTATGACACCCGTGTCAGAGGTGACACGCGAACTCATTATTTTGGTTGATTTTTCTTTGTTAAATGGCATTTAAGTATATAAAATAAATATCAAAAATATAAATCTTTGTTTTACTATGGTTGCAGATATCAAAAAATTTCTTATGTGACACGGCACCAGAGTTAAGTTAGGGTTTTTCAAAATGCTGACACGCCGAGTTCAAAAGGTTTGCCATCACTGCTTTAGGCCGAGGATAGGACATCATTTTCAATATCTAGGAATCTAAGCTACAACACAATATACAAGGAGAATTATTTTAAAATGTGGGGAAAGGATGGGCACAGCAGGTACTCAGTGAGTAGTCTGAAAACTTATATATACAAGCTGTACATGTACTAGGGAATTGGTGAATGAATCCTGAATGGTTTTCTTCATCTTCTCTCTGATGTACTAATGGCCAAAAGACTTTTGGGCAGTTATGCTGGAAATCTGAACAGCTAGAACAGGGGTGTTCACTTACTTTACCTGTCTGACCCCACCGTTTGCTACATCCCTACAAGCCCAGTTTCACGCAGAAAAACAAACAAAAACAGATAGCTGTGTCCCCACCTACCCTACTCCTTCTATTCTTATAGTGCAGTGGTTCTAAAACTTCTGGCCCTTTGAAACAGTTCCTCATGTTGTGACCCCCAAGCATCAAATTATTTCCGTTGCTACTTCATAGTAATTTTGCTACTGTTATGAATCGTAATGTAAATATCTGATATGCAGGATGGTCTTAGGCAACCCCTGTGAAAGGGTCATTCGACCACCAAAGGGGTCGTGACCCACAGGTTGAGAACCGCTGTTATAGTGTGTCATAGGCAAGTTTTGTTATCTCCATCAAACTTTCTCCAACTTAACCCCTCACTGAAACTGATATTTTATTTAGCTTTCTATTTTTTCAGTGTATTGTGAGTTGTCTACTCTTCTACCATATGTTTGCTTTTTGTTTGAAATTATTGCTTAACAATTTTATGAATAAAGTATTTCAACCCACCCTCATCAACAAGATGGGAATCTCACTTAAGTCTAAAACTATACATGGCTTTGAGTGCCTGAGAGTAGCAAGTCTAGGTACATGATTATGACCAAACTCTTATCAGATAATTTTTACACTTTCTCTTTTCTTATCTTCCTAAGTGATCATTTATGTCTTCAGAGTTTAAGTTTAGCACTTCTTGAAGTTTGGCAGAGACTGATGCTAAAAATTTCTGACCAGAAGCAAAACATTTTTCTCTTTACAATTATTTAATATACTCTTTTAAATCCCATTTAGGGAAACATATCAGCTCTTTATCAAATTCTAGTCTCTCTTATTTTTCTGCTGCAGTGAAAATGTCGGTTTCAGTGTCTTAACCATAATAAAAATAGTCCATCTAGGAATGCATCAACCTATGTTATGGACTAAATTGTTTCCCCAAAAATTCATATGTTGAAGCTCTAATATACCAATGTGATTGCATTTAGAGATAGGGTCTTTAAGGAGTTAATTAAGGTTAAATGAGGTCATAAGGGTGGTGCCCTATTCCTATGAGACTGTGGTCCTTATGAGAGGAAGAGACACCAGGGGCTTCTCTCTCTCTCTCTCTCAGAGAGAAAGGCTGTGTGAGGACAAAAAGACATCTACAAATCAGAAAGAAGCCACATGAGAAATCAACCCTTGCAGTACATTGGTCTGACTTCTGTCCTGCAAACTGTAAGAAAATTAATTTCTGTTATTTGAACCAGTCTGGGATTTTTCTTATGATAGCATGACCAGATTAATACAATATACATCCTTGTTTTTTATTTTCATTCTATGGGCCCAGTGCACAAATTTGTGCACCTTGAAAGGAACTGTGGGCCAGGAGGCTGTGGTGGGCACAGGTGCAGGTCTTGGCCCATCCTCTGCGCCCCCGCCCAGCCTCTCCTGCTGCAGTCCCTGGTCCCTGTCTGCTGGGAGCTCCGCCCTCATCGCTGCCACTCCCACACACTGACAGCACAGAGCGATTTGGGCCAACGCCATCAGTGGGTACAAGCAGTGACTGCTGCCCCAATCGCCCCTCAGGAGCAGGGGGAGGCAGAGAAGCCCTCAGGGGTAATAGGGGCCAGCAGCCACTGTTCACACCCACTGATGGCGCCCAGCGATCGGGAACAGCGCTGGGTGCCGGCAGCGGGTGTGAGGGCCGGGCGGGACCTTGGCATGTGGGAGCAAAGAATTTTTAGTAATCACCAGAGGCTCACCCTGATGACAGCAACTGGTGCCCCGCCTTGGTCTGGCGCCCCTGCTCACCTGCTCCACCATCCTGTCGCAGCCAACGCCCGCCATGTTCCATGCACGCCCCCAGGTGGTCAGTGCATATCATAGCGACCAGTTGTTCAGTAGTACCACTGTTCGGTCTATTTGCATATTAGCGTTTTATATATAGAGATCCTCTTACATATCGTCTTTCACTCTCATATAGGACAAACTGAATGCATCTAATCTCATAGTTCCGTCCTTATTAAATAAAACCAATTTTCATTCGTTTTCTAAATTTATCTTGTTTTTTTTTGTGATATAGGACAAACTGAATGCATCTAATCTCATAGTTCCGTCCTTACTAAATAAAACCAATTTTCATTAGTTTTCTAAATTTATGTTGTTTTTTTGTTTTTTTTTCAGTTCAATTAAATCTTTAAAGATTTTGTGCTAATTTACGAGATTGTAAGACACTGTTTCTGCCCACAATCCAGTATGTTGACTGCCAATTTGGAAAGTCTCTATGTCAATATCCAGTATATTGCTTAAAGGAAATACATAACTTATAGACACTCTAAAATGATGCCAATACCCAGATAAAAATGAACATATTGCAGGTATAAAAATGATTAGATGAGCTAAAAAATTACATTTTATTCACATTTGGTCCAATTTTGTTTTGAAGGGATGCAGTATGAATTCTTATTCTATAAAATAACATGATACAATTCTTGTTTCACAAGTTTTTTTTAACATTTATATACTATTTTCTCTTAAAGTTATATTTAGATGTTCAGTCAAAATGATCAAATAGGATTCTAATGAAAAATAGTAGTTTCCTAGTGAAGTTTCTCTTTCAACTCATATTTCTTTTGATGTTTAGTGATATATTCTAAAGTAATATGCTCATATTTTTTATGTATAAATTTCAAGCACTATTATTGCCTTCCTATTTTATAGTAGTTAAAGAGTTAGCATTGACATTGGTATAATCCAGAGACCTTATTTAGGTTTCACAAGTTTTACATATTCTCATCTGAAAATAAAGGCATAGCTATTGATTTTGTTGTTTTGGAAGGTGTTTTTTTTTCCTGGTACATTTATCTGTTTCCTCCAAATATCCCCCCCCTTTTTTTGTTTTTACCTTTTTCTTCATGATAATTTGAGTGATGCCCTAAAAAGTTCATTGAAAGCACTGTTTGAATGAGTAGGACTTGTGGGCTGAATGTTACTCTTTTCTTTGGTGAGATTCCAAATATTAATGTCAGCTTTAAAAACAAACGAACAAATACCCTATTGACAAGATATATTCAAATTAGTCATATGACTTAAAACCTATTTGAAATAGAACTCCTTTCATCATCTATATGTGCAAAACCTTAAATTATTGGAAACTTAAATTTACTCATTTTTAAAGGGGGCTTTCATTGTGTCCATCCAATTTTGATGCTCTGATGCATTACGACAGCATCACAATTGCCAGCGTTGCCTTTGCTAGCTGTGCACCCAGAAGACTCTTGACTTAAAAGCTATTTACACCCCAAGCTCCCAAGACACAATGTTGCCTTCAAATTATAAAAATGACTCCACCTCATAATACCATAGAGACATAAACATAAGACACAAATCAAATTCATTGAGTGTCTTTCCAAAAAAATACCCAGTCCCACATCCCATGGTATCCCCCAGGCCCAGGAGCACCCCACTGGAGGTGACATATCTCCAGCAACAACTTCACCCCAGACATTAACCCCTCTGCCTGACACCCACAAGCTGCCTCTCCTAAGGTCCTGACAAATTGGACATGAAATGCTTATTGCCTTTTTTCTTTGATATTAGGGCTTCTATTATGTTTTATGAGCTTGTTATTTAACACATGTTCCTGATATATCCTTGCTTTTGCCAACACACACCCTTATACCCCAGTGCCTAGGGGAAAGCCTAGTAGAGGATACTACAATCTATGACATTCTAAAAATTAATGGAGATTATTGCTTTCTCTAGGAGGCAACTACTTCATATCAGTAACTCCTCTACCCCGGTAGGAGGACCCCCCACACACATACTTCCCAGTTCCTTCTTCTACAATCCCCTCAACTTTCCATCCTGACCTTCTTCCCTGAGTCTCCAACCATGACCGCCACAACCACAACGCCCCTTCCCCTAATTACACACAAATACCACCAATCTTTGCATATTCTTTACCAAACTCTCTGCTGATACCCTCCAATAATATACCTGCTGGAACTGCTACCTTGACCTGAGAAAATACTAGGCAACAGGGACAGGTCCTGAAATTATGCAAACTAGCCAATCTTAAACCTGCTTACCTTGCCCCACCTGTTCTTTCCTGTGGGATTCACAATGCAGGCTCTTGCTGAGTTCCCCTCTCCCGCTCTGTCTTGCAATTGACCTCAGGTGATTGCCTGTGAGCCCCCTGCTGTGTGATGTGTTTTCACTCTTGGGATCTGAGATTAATAAACAAACTATCTTTTCAATGGCAATTGTCTCCTGATCTGTTGGCCTTGCTATACCCAAATAATTTAAAAAAACCTATTAAAACAATATTTGGCTAAGTCATACCATTTTCTGACATTTCATTAAAGCATTTTATCCTGAAGGCCTCAGTTAAAAGGTGTCTAACCACTTGATTTCTCTTTGCTCAGGGTATGAGCAGAGAAATTAGAAATTGACAATAAGAGCAACACTTTATTTTTCTGGAAAGTTAGAGTAAGAGCCTAGCCATGGGCTCAGGAAGCAAAAATTCCAGCCATTGCTGGGGAAAATGTATTTTTTGTTTCTGATGTAGGGACATATAGAAAGAAAGCTTTTTTACTTTCATTTTGAAATACTGCCTAATCAAATCTTATGTACCCAGACTAAAAACAAAACAAAAAAAAAAACAAACAGAAAAAGAACAGCTGCATACCTCTGTTAAGGACATGCAGCTCTGATGTTTAAAGAACGATTTATTGTTTACATTTATTAGATCTGCTGAGGTTTATTTCCACTTTGAGTTATTTCTGCTCTTTCATTGGAAGCTATGTGGCATAAGGGAAGGAGCCAGCTTGGGGGACGGGGGCAGGAGGGGAGCAGGAGGGCAGAGAGGTGGGTGAAATATGATTACTCCTAATGGAATTATTAATCTCTGATTAAAATGATTATATTTTAGAATTACAGCAAACATAGTAAATATTGATGGCAATCTTTTAATTTCAACATCCTATGAAATCTTGACACACAGGAAAAGGTGAGTCACTACATTCAACTCCCATTGCAGATTCTGCAAGCATCAAGAAAGCTCTGGCGGCTCGGGAATCCATCAATCAAAGCTTTGTGCGGCTCAGGAGGGATTAATATGCTTTGAATTACTGTAATCCTTTAGGCTCATGGTAGTTGTTATACCAAATACATATGAACTTCCTGGGAATAGAATTTCCCAGCTTTCTGTGAATTTGTATAATGATCCATGCAGTGTGAAAAGAGCAATGCAAAACGGAACTGAAATCACCAAAACTGATTATGTCTAAGGGTCAGTGCCCCACCTCCTACCCCAATGGTTTAATTTTGTACGCAGTTCACACCTGCCTGTGTGCCCTGGGAACTAGGAAAAGGATCATGGGTAACTGGGGAGATACAACCTTTCCTATTTTGTATTTGTTGGGACCCACTTTTGCATGTGTGAATTAGTTTTAACCTATAGGCCTTAATCCAAAATGTTAGCTCCAAAGAAAAGATTCTCATCCCTTATTTTCTTCCCATCCATCAGGTCTCCGTAAATCCCTCCAGGCTAGTCCTGTTTTAGTCCCTCCCATAGGCAGCTTCCAGTTCCCAACCCTTTAGACCAGTGGTTCTCAATCTTCCTAATGACGTGACCCTTTAATACAGTTCCTCATGTTGTGGTGACCCCAACCATAAAATTATTTTTGTTGCTACTTCATAACTGTATTTTTGCTACTGTTATGAATCCTAATGTAAATATCTGATATGCAGGATGTATTTTCATTGTTACAAATTGAACATAATTAAAGCATAGTGATTAATCACAAAAACAATCTGTAATTATATGTGTGTTTTCTGATGGTCTTAGGCGACCCCTGTGAAAGGGTCGTTAGACTCCCAAATGGGTCGCGACCCACAGGTTGAGAATCACTGCTTTAGACAGATATTGACCAGCATGTTCACTCCAATTCTCCTTTAGGAACTTTTCTTATATATGTATTGCACACCTCTCGCTGCTAGACGGTGGAATTGTATCACTAGAACAAGCACCATCTTCACTCAGTGTTTACTAAAATGGTTTCAGAATGCTCACTTCCTGAATCTGTTACCAGCACATCCCACCTTCCCAGGTAGAGCCACCTCTCCCTCCCCCGTTTTTCTTCTGTAATTTTTATTTACTGCTCAACATGGAGTTCTTTAGCAGTTTCCTCCCACTGTTCTGATGCTATTGCATGCTTTTCTCATTATTATATTCTTACCCATATGACCAACAGAACAAATAGAATATTCCAGGCAA